CGCCATTGCTGAGGAGGAAGAATCTAATCACAGTTCAGTACTGAGTGCTGTGCGGCAGCAGGTGCACCTGTTTGAGAGCAAGATGGAACTGAGTGCAGATGAGCAGCGAGAACGAGACGCCATTGCTGAGGAGGAGGAGTCCCATCACAGTGCATTGTTGACTTCTGAATTGGTTGCTTTATCTTCTGTCAGAGGTGTTGAGGGTGTAAGTGTTCTTGACAAGAATGTTGGCTTATATTGTGAGGGGAGTACGGTGGGTGAATTGCTCTCAAGTCATAATTTGTGTAATGAAACTCTTGGAGGTGAAGTTGTGGACAGAGGTGATGATGTTTTGGGTTTGTTGAGTTTACCATCTGTGGAAGACAATGGGTTCCTCGTTGATACTCATGCGGGTGATACACTTTTTACCTCCGCGAATCCTGTCTCTCCTCAAAACACTGAGCTAAATGTGTGTAGTACTGACGTTGCTGTTTCTGTTCTGGTTGAAGATGATTGTCGAGTTGGGGCGGGATCACAGAATGTGTCGACTGCTGCTGAGGATACCACTCACCCACCGCTTCATCCTGCATTAGCGGCTCTTGATAGAACACAAAGAGGGTTGGCTCGTGGTAGACCTGCTGGTGTGGATCCGGATGATCTTGAGAGTTATTTGGAATATGAGGCCAAAACAACGTATTCGTGGTGGAGTTGTCTATTGACGCCATTTTATTGTTGTAGGAGCCGGTATCAATTGGAGGAAGTGGAAATGGTGCAACATTCTGAAGAGTGATCTCCTTTGGTAATAAGAAATGAGTTGCCTGGTAGGCGTTATTGGTTTTTTTTCTTATATGGCTAGTTGTTTCACTTGTATTCTGTTAAAGATTTGTTTTCTGTGTCCATGTTTTTTTTTTTAATTTACCATGTGTACTCTTTCGTGTTATTCCATTTCATTTGAATTTAAAAAAAAAAAAAGAGCTGAGGTAATTAGTTTGTAAGGCGTTTTGCTGTTCCCTTGTTGTATAACGTACAGTATTCGAGTATCTTGTTTGTTTGCAGTTTTCTTTTTTGCTTGTATGTGCTGGCATTCCATTTTTCTGTCATTTAAATATAGTCTATACATTAGGAGTAACTCAGTTAAGAGGAAGTATATTTATATAAATATATATATATATTTATATTTATATTTGTATATATATATAACTCCACTATTACACTATTTTTATATATTTATATATAAATATACAACTTCACAATATCCTTTTCCTGTTACGGTTACACTTCTTGTATTTGTTCTCACTACTCTTGTACTATATTTTGCAGAAAGGGAATAAAACAAAAGAAAAAAAAAGGGAAAACATAATATGCAGTTAAACCTCCCACCACCCCCACTCATTCACATCACATTTAGTGGACAGCCAGCGGTGTCAACAGGCGTGGTGAATCTCGCAGCACTGCTGGGGAGTACAGACTATCTCCTCGTCAGACACGTCTCACCCACAGAAGGTGCAGGTGGTGCGTATGATGATGATGATAATGAAAATGATAGTTTAATCGATGGAGGTGAAGATACTGCCAATAAAGCCGATATTAATAGTAATAAAAATAATGATAAAAATAAAAATAATAATAATAATAATAATAATAATAATAATAATATGAAGCATAATAATGTTAACAATGGCGATGGAGTTAGCGGCAACAGCAGTCTCATTGGTGAGGCTGTCTCTCAGCGGCGTAAGCTGCAGTTGTGTGATCACGCGGGTCTCCCGCTCGGTTGTTTTGCGGTGGAGGACGGCGGCCGCTATGAAGTTGTGCGGCGAAGTGATGTGCACGTGGGAGCGGGAGTGGCACGCGACACACGAGAAGAAAAGAAGAAGCGTAAGAGGAACACACGGGAAGAAGAAGAAGAAGAAGAAGAAGAGGGAAAACAACAGGAAAAAGAAGAGAATGAAGAAGAGGAAGAACAGGAGTTGACCGCGGAGGAGAGGCGGAAGAAAAAGAGGCAAGAGAAGAGGCGAAAGCGGGCGGAGAAGGCGAGGGAGGCGGATCGTGGGGAAAACAGAAGTGCGCTGTTGAGATCCCGAGGTGGTAATGAAGCTACAAATACAAACACAAACACAAATACCACTACTACTACTACTACTACTACTACTATAAACACAAACACATCAACAAGAGGAAAGGAATCAACAGTGCGAGAAGGAGGAGAAGGAAATACAAGAATGGAGAATGCGGTGGGTGAGGAAGGCGTGCAGCGGGTGTCCCTCGACACACCACTCACAGATAGTCTCACCAATTCACAGCGGGTTGTGGAACAGAGTGAACAACAACAACAACAACAACAAGCAGAAGAAAAAGAAGAAGAAAAAGAAAAGGAGGAATATAGTGGAAATACACCATCTCGACCATCGTCCACACAGAAATCACTATCCCCATCGTTAGTCAGTTCGCCTATGCCTGTTATGGAAGTTAAGAAGTGCCGGCGGCCATTGAATAAGGTTAGCAGCAGTTCATCACTGGATCGCAACCACGTGCAGTACGTGAATGAAGAACAACAAGATGAAGAGCAGGAACGGCGTCAAGAAAAGGAACTTTTTACTGCGGAACAGGAAAATGAAAATGAAAAAGAAAATGAAAATGAAAATGAAAATGAAAAAGAGGAGAAGGAGGAGGAAAAACAGAATTCTCATACTGGAGAGAACAGAGGTGTAGAAGAACAGCAAATAATAAACAAACCATCCAATTTACGCAGCAGTGTAGCGAGCACCACTACAGATGATGACACCCTCATTACACATGCATTAAAGAATGCAGTGCGTGAGAAGGAAAAGAAGGATGAGGGCAGTAGCAGTAAAAAAAGAAATAGTAAAAACCACAATGACCATGATTCTCTTTTGGATGTGTTGAAGAAGAATATAAACACAACAACAATAACAAGAACACCAGCAGCATCAACAGAACCAGAAGCAACACCAATAAGGGAAGAAGGAAAAGAGGAAGAAGAAGAAGAAGAAATGTGGTCGGAGGCCACCGGTCAGCAGCGTCCTTCTTCGAATAAATGGATGCCGTTGGAAAGCCCGGCGTTGGGATTCACCACCGTGGACAATACATTATCGCAGGACTTTAGTCTAGACTCTTCTTCTGTTACGTCCTCTACAGATCAAGTGTACTAAATAGTCGAATAAGGTATATTAAATAATAATAATAATCATAATCATAATAATAAGAGGAATAATAATAATAATGAATACTAAATGAAGATTACATACATATGAAAAAGAGATGAAGTTCAAGGAATGAGGTAGAGAAAAGTGAAAAAGAAAAAAAAAAAGAATATAGGCAGTGGATGGGTAGTGTATATGTTTTTTTTTTTCTTTTTTTTTTTATGCATTTCTACTTGTTAATTTTTATTATCTCTTCCAAAGGAAAAGAGGGATAAAAAAAAAGAAGAACAGAAGCCCTCTGTGATGAAAAGAGGAAACATAGTCTTCTCTTTCTTTTTTTTTTGTTTTTTGTGCGTGCTTATTCTCTCTTTTTTTTTGGTTTTTTTCTTCGTTATTCGCGTCGAGTAACTTTTTTTTTCTCAACATTTTCTCTATTTTTCGTTGATAAATAATATCCTTTTATCTATACGCACCTAATTTTTTTTCTTATTATTATTTATTCTTTTGCATTTTTTGGTCGAATCCCAATCTTCATTTCATTCTTCTGATATGCATTACGCATCATTTGTGCATTAGAATCCATTAACCATCTTATGCTAAGTATCCGCAAGATACGGTGTGTAAACATAAATAGATAAAAAAGAAAAAAGAAAAAGAAAAAGAACGCTAGTTAATGAGAGTACTAACGCCATTCACCGACTCTCTCTCTCTCTTTCTCTATTTCTTTCTATTTCTCTCTCACGGATACAGATATACATACATACATACACACTGTGGAATAGGGTTAGATAAACATGAATAACGCACTCGATCCTGCGAGGGCACCGCAGTTCCTTGATTCCATGTTGCGCCGTAATCGCATTGTACTCATCTCCGCCACTTACTGCCAGTTCTGTACAAAACTGAAGATGTTGTTGATTGAAACAAATCACCGCTTCGTTTCGCTTGAAATTGATATTATTCCAAATGGGCGGGAGGTCTTTACTGAAGTTGTAGGTCGAACAGGTGTGCAAACTGTTCCACAGGTGTTTCTTGGCGGTCGCTACTTGGGTGGCTACGATGAACTTGTCGCCCTCTATCGTCGTGGGGAACTCTCGGCTACGCTGGAAAAACGATGAGATGAGATGAGATAACTTTTGGATTTCATGAATGTATGTATTATATATATATATATATATATATATATATATTGTGTGTCTGTAGTAGTGCTAATAAAGTGGGAAAGATACATAGATGGTGCTAGAGGATGATGATGATGATAGTGGTAGTGGTTTATTTTCTCTATTTATTTGAGTAACGGAACATTTTTTGTTGTTGTTCTTGTTTCCTTCTTTGTATATACATATATATCATTGTGTATGTGTGTGTGAGAGAGAGAGAGAGAGAGAGTCTTTGTATGTGTATGTGATTCATTTTCTTTGCCCTCTTTAGTGCCTCTACGCCATAGTCGTGTGAAATGAGTTCATTATACGGCAGTAGTGATAGCTGTGCGTATGCCTCTGAAGAGGAGGATGAGAAAACGGTGCCGCCATCCCCTCAGGCTTCTCCCAACAGAGGTGTTAACCGATATAAGGATTCGTTAACTTACTATGATAATGATGGGAATAGTGAAGAAGAAGAAGAAGAGATTGAGGAAGAGGGAGCTTTGCGTAGGAGAAATGGTAAGAGTAGAAATACACCAGCAGCACGATGGCAGAAGAGGAAACAACATCCACAGAAACAGAAACAGAAACAAGAATCTCAAGAAGAAGAAGAAAATGAAGAAGAAAAAGTGGTGGAGTCGTTGGAAAATGTGTCTGCAGACACACGTACGAGTTTTCCACAATCGTGTTGTTTTATTCTGGACACGAACACACTTCTCGAGGCGGACCACACAGAGCAGCAGAAGATTTTAAATACCGCAGAGAAACACCTGGTGATTATTCCACGGAAAGTGCATGGGGAATTAAATAATATGGATGAAGGGAGAGCAGGCGTTTCACTGTTAAAACTACGCAAGTGGATTCAGAAGGCGGTGGACTCAAGCGGGAAAAACTGCCAAAGCTCTGATGCTGCGGATGTTAATGATACTGTTCATATTCCCTCTTGTGGATTTCGTTTGCAGACGGCGAAGGAACACTGCCATTCCGTGACTGCAGTTGCACGCAATAATGATGATCATATTCTTTCTTGTGCATGTTATTTTCAACGACTGAATAATAAAAATAAAAACAACAATAATAATATTAATAATAATAATAAGAAGAATAAAAAGAATAAGAAGAGTAGAGAGAGTAATATGCAAGTTTATCTTGTTACTGGCGATGTTGTGTTATCACTTAAGGCACATGCAGAGGGTGTGGGAACTATTAGTACTCTTTGTTGAATGAGCGAGGATTTCCTAAATAATGATAATGATAATGAGAGTGGAAGGAAAAAGAGAAAAGGAAAACATAATCAATTGAAATTGACTTTTATTTTCTGCTGTTCGTGTTGCATTATCTTTGGTGTCACGTATCTT